TTCATGGAATTCTTGGAAAAGTTTTATAAAACAGTTCCCATTATATAAAAACCTGGAGGTACTAATAATTAATGTTTAGGATCCAATCAGCCATCAAAGAGATTCTTTATTTTCCTTTTTTAAACTGTTTTGCCCCTCAATGCATGTTTGTTTGTGGACTAGGCTTATTAATAGAAATAAATACATGGTAATACTTTGGCAAGTCAGTTTACATATAATCAGCCATTTACCACTTACCAAACATGCAGAGTTTATAAAAGCAGACAACCCAGGCCGACACCATCTTACGTAACCTAAAGAGCCGGCTGGCTCCTATACAGATTCCTTCATACAAAGAACTGAGCTCTGCACCTTCTAGACACCAGTTAATCTTCTATTTCGTATGACAAGTAAATCAATTTGGCCTTATCCACAAACATTTCTAGAAATTCTGTTGGTCACGGGTAACGTCTTTACAGATGGGATCCTTATGTGTGGTGTTCCATCATAATGGGTTTGGTGGTAAATAAAATAACTAGATTGTTATTTAATTTTTAGATTGTCAAAACATAACTCTCAAAATATTATAAACAACAAAAACATCATTCTCACAGGGAGAGTGAGCACATGCAAAAGCTCTAACTCCTTAAAGGAGGAACAAGCAATAGGACAAAACTGTTTCAAAAAGGGATATGAAAGACTTGAAAAGAAAGAATGCTGGAATAAGATTCTAAATTACATACGATACAGTTCACGTCCTGTTTGGCAGTAATGACCATAACCTCTCGGGTTGTCTTCGTTACTGAATAAGAAAATCATCGTGACTGATCAGTTTTCTATAAGGTAACTTTATAAAGAAGTAAAACAGTCATAATAAATAGTTACATTCTCCAGGAGACTAGAGTGATAATAAACCTTTTAGATAATACTAGTATGACCTCAGAAGGTGAAGCAGTTATTTTTTCCTTATTTCCCAATTTGGTTATTTTTTTTCCTTAACAAATACAGAAGCATCTGGAAAAAATTAAAACATTCACATCTTTCCATAGTATATGCTTTTCAAAAGTGAAAGTCACTTCTCCCTGTGAGTTGTGTTATGAATTAGTTATATAAAACAACATAAATATACTTTTTGTAAAAAAACAATTAAATTTTATTTTCCAGACATAAAACTGAAATCAAATTCACCACAATTCCAATATAAGATTACTCAAAAAAGATCCCTACTTCTAGCTTATAATCAATTATAAGAACTCCCTTACGGAAAAATATAAAGATAAAAACTAGGGTATTCCAAATATGTTTATGGGGAAATATAAATAGGTATTTTTTAATATTTTGAAGTGAGTGATGTCTCATGGAAGTGTCACAGAAGACTAAAACTCAGACAAAACTTTTCTGCTCTCATTCAATATTTTATAAATCACTATAGCTTCCTTCTTTTCCAAAGCATTGAAGACTGTACCAAAAATGCCCTTTGGGTAGAGGATAGTTTTGATATTTCTCTTGGAAAGTCAAAATGATTCTCCCACCCACTACTATTTATACCTATCTCTGCTATTCTAACCATTATTTTTTAAATAATGGACTGAGGTTACAGATACTAGTTACAATTTCTTCTCCAACTACTTGCCTTTGGTCTATTTCAGAAAACATTTTTATATCTACCAGAAGAGGGCAGGGAAGAGAAGACGAGGTAAAATATATTAGAATGACTGATGCTTGAGCAGAAAAAAGCAGAGCTCATTTATTCCTTGTTCTTAGTTCCTAACATTGTATCTAGTATTAGTGGGCATTGAGTAGACATTTTTTAGATTAGATGGGATCACTTGGTAATGACTGAGAATGTCTACTAGGGGAAGAAGCTTTTAACAACAACAACAAAAGTAACATTTGGGAAATGTTTTGAAATAACAAGGTTTTGGAATTGTCTTCCTTTCTTTAATGTAATGCCTACTGAAATCATTTTAGACATAATAGTCACTGAAAAAATACTTATTGATTAAATTATGAAGGGTCAAGTTTTGGATGTGTTTAAGCAAGGAGTGGGGAATGCAGGGGATGATCTGTATCACTAAAATGTACACATGAGATACTGCCAAACTCGTTTGATCTTAACTTACTCATTTGTGGGCCTCACAAGTTAGCTACATCAGAATCAAAAAAGTTCTCTAATGTGCCTCTACCAACTTTTTTTTTTTTTTGAGGCAATAGGTTTTAAGAAAAAAAAAAAAAGTTTCCCCTGAAGTTCCTCTAGAGTCTAGAGGTGGGTAGCACCTTGTGGACCAAAATGTACATTATAAACAAACTTCCACTGAGGAAAATGTGCTGTTTGTCAGTTTTTTAACATAGTAATTTCATAGTTCTTTCATCTAACATTCAATTTTGTTGAAAACCATTTCTTGACTATCTGTATTACAACAGCTATGCATCCTCTCCTCTAAGATACTATGTCAGTAGGTAAACACCCTTATAATAAAAACCGGAGCGCAATCCGAGCTCTCTCCCTTTTCCTCACCCCCCGCGTTCAATCTTGGAACAAGCCCTGCACATTTCTCCTGCTGTGCAGTTTTCTCATCTGTCCCCTACCCTCTGAATATCTGCCCCTGTTGAGGCATCTTTCTTCTGGTTCATGGTCATGGTCTCCTACCTGGATATAGTTTCCAGGCTGCTGCCGGGTGAATTCCCTAAAATGCAAAGCTGATCTTGTCACTCCCCTACTTTAAGACCTTCCTGCTTCCTACTTAGTTTACAGAATTAAACACAAGGGTTTTTGCACTGTAAAGCCTTCAATGCCTGGCCCCCATGGATCTTGACAGCTCATCACATACTACTCGCTGGTAAAACTACACTGGTTCTAATTTCACATACACATCAAGGACTTCTCAAGTCTACATCATTACTTGTAATGTTGCCTCTGATATGAGGGCACTTCCCACATTTATTTGCCTATCTTTCTCATTACTGAACTGTCAAGACTCAGATCAGAAATTACCTATAGCATAACTTCCCTGAACAGAGCGCTGAAAATTTCCCTCCTCTGGACTTCCTGGCACATGCCTCTCTTTTCACTCACACCATGCTGGTAGTCTGCCTCACGCCCCACAAGAGCGACCCTTGGAAGGTGGCTGAGTGTGTGAGCAATTGATTGTTTTATTTTCCTTATATTAAATTAAGTAACCATATGTGGCCGGTGCTGTTCTATAGGGCAGCCCTACATTCTTCTTAAAAGGGGTTTCATGCTATGTTGCTCTTCTATTGGGAAAATAACACCAGCAACTCTGTATCTTTTCGTGCCCTTTGTTTCTATGGTAAAAAGCTTAGTAATTAATTTTAAGTACTTTACGTGTATTAATGTTATAAGCATCAAAAGGGTCATTAAAAAAAAGGACTTCATTTTTACTAATTTTTTGAATAATTTACTTTGGCAAATATACCGAAGTGACTTTATATTATAATAATAAGCCCTGCCTCTGAGGCAGCTGAACCACGCTTTTCTCCATGGGCCTTTTTAACCACTGTGAAAAATTGATTACACTTCATTTGATCTCAGGTTTACAATATCAGAGTATTTATGTATTTCTGGACATTATCGGTGGTTTTATAAAACAAGGAGAAAGCAAAAGCTGTGAATAATTTTCAAACTTCAACCTTAGTTTCAATATTTTTAAATTTAACTGACAAGGTAATTATCCCAGAAATTGTCCTAACTCAATGATTTGTGAAACTATGATTGTCCCATTAAAATGACAGAGTACTCAATCAGGAGAGAAAAATGGTTCTCTGAGGTTTGGCCCTATTAAACCGGTTCTTTATGTTATTATCCACTTCTCCTTTGGAATATACACAGCTGTGTGTTTCCGTGTGCGTGAGGAAAAGTGTCCCAGCCAGAAGACGGCTAACGTTAGTGTAGAGCCGTGGAGCAGAGGGTGAAGAGTGCAGATTCTGCGGGCAGATTGCCTGATCGGAATCCCACAGGGCTACGTCACACTGGTGGGATGATGGAAACGGTTCAGTTGGCCACTCTCCACCCCCGTTTCTTCATCTATAAACAGAGACAATAACTGGATCTGTCATGCTGATCTGCAGCACGCTAGAGTGAAACCCCACATGTCTGAATTTTACAAAGCAGAAAAAAAGATTATTTTTTGCTAATTCTGCATGCTCATCGCAGATCCCCTGGGGGCTCCGTTCCACATCACGCTTCTTCAAGGACCCAGGTAGCTACAGCAGTCATTGTCTGGACTATTGCCAGTCACCATACCGGAGGGGAAAGAGCTCAGGAAGGTTGTCTCCAGCAAGTGTACTCACCTAGAAATGACCTACTTCACTTCCCCTCATAAATCATTGGCCAGATGTGGATGCAAGGCCAATGGTGCAATTTGACCATGTGCACGAGAAAGAGGCTGAAATGTTCAATGACAAGGCACTAATGATTACCACAATAATTATGCCTATCGCATATACTAAAAAGTTACTTTACACAAATTACCTAGAACGGGACCTGCAGTAAGTTATTATTAACTAATGAAGAGCAAATGCATGAAGTGTGAAATTAGATGATTGCAATTTCATGTTAAAGTACATGATTTCAGGACTCCAAGTCTGCTAAAACCAGCTAATCTGGGGGTGGGGGGGAGATAACAGTGAGGTAATCCGGAGAGTTAATACTTTACTTCCATCAAGTATGATCTGTTTTAGAAAGATACTTAATTATAATTCCTTCATGCAAAAAATCATCATTTATTTATTCACTTGTACATTCAACAAGTATATAAAAGTACTATGCTAAGGGCTGAGGATACAGTGGTGAACAATACAGAAATGGTTTCTGCCTTCATGGGAGACTGGATGTTAAATGTATAACAGGTAAATCGTCACTTAGGATTGTGATAAGTGCCACACAATTTCTATATAGGCAATGGAATTAATTTTAAGTATTTAGGAATTCTACAGATCTTTAAAATATGCATTATATTTATTCCTCCATCATACAAAATTTAGTATTAAACATCAGTGAATCCTTTGGTCAGGACCTGTACCAGGCACCAGAAATACAGAGATCATTAAGGCAAGGTCCTTTCCTCAAGGAGTCCAGTCATCTCCCTCAGAAATTTCCATAGAAAAAATAATCTTAATATGACACAGTATATACCAGGAGTGAAATAAACTGAGTACCTAGGACAAGGTTCTATTACATACTGGGAGAATGAATATGAGACATAGCTTCTGCGAGGAGCATACACTAGAAATCAGGTTTGATAAATCATTAGGAATTAACTAGACAAAGATGATGAAAACCATCCCAGGTGGAACATATGCAGAGGAATGAACTTGGAGATGACTATTACAAGTAGTTAACAGTGCTTGGTGGGAGGAAGTGGTAAGCCGTCAGTCTGGAGATCCTACTAGGCCAGGTCAAAGAGTTCCCAATGCCATGCTGAGTTTGGGTCTTATGCCAAAGGCCATAGCGATAAAAAGGAGTTTCGGGCGCCTGGGTGGCTCAGTCGTTAAGCGTCTGCCTTCGGCTCAGGTCATGATCCCAGGGTCCTGGGATCGAGTCCCACATCGGGCTCCCTGCTCTGCGGGGAGCCTGCTTCTTCCTCTCCTGCTCCCCCTGCTTGTGTTCCTGTTCTCGCTGTCTCTCTCTGTCATATAAATAAAATCTTTAAAAAAAAAAAAAGGAGTTTCATAAAAGAGTATGACTAAGATTTGCATCTTATAAAGATACCTGTAGGAGGTAGGATGGCTTGATGGAGCTTGAGATGGGAAAAAGACCAGTTAAGAATCTGTTGCAACCATGACCAAGTGGGATTTATTTCAAGAATGTAAGGGTGATTTAACATACAAAAATAAATCAATGTAATACACTACATCAATAGAGTAGAAAAATGGGCAAAAATCATATAATCATCTTGGTAGATGTAGAAAAAAACATTTGAGGATATTCAACACCTCTTCATGATAAAAAACACTTAACAAACTAGGAAGAGCGGAAACTTTATTAGTCGAGTACATGTGAAAAACCACAGTTAGTGTCATACTTAATGGTGAAAGAAGACAGAATGCTTTCCCCCTAAGATCAGAAACAAGGCAAGGATGTCTACTTCTGCTACTTCTATTCAACATTGTACTGAAGGTTCAATCCAGGTCAGTTAGGAAAGAAAACAAAATGAGGAACATCCAGATTGGAAAGGAAAAAGTAAAACTATCTCTATTACCAGATGACATGATCTGGTACATAAAACAAATCCTAATCAATCCACTAAAAAATTATTAGGACTAATAAAAAAGCTCAGCAAAGTCAGGACAAAATATAAAAAAAAAATCAAGAATATTTCTGTACAGTAACAAGGAGCTACCTGAAAAAGAAATCTTTAAAAAGTTGACTTAAAATAGCATCAGAAAGAATAAAATACTTAGGAATAAATTAAACAAAAAATGAGCAAAATTTATGCTCTGAAAACTACAAACTAATTTCTGAAAGAAATTAAAGAAGACCTAAATAAATCAAAAGGTAGCCCATATTCCAGGATTGAAAGAAATTAAATTATCAAGATGGCAGTACTATCCAATTTGTTTTACAGTTTCAATGCAATCTCTATCAAAATTCTGGTTGACTTATGTGCAAACATTGACAAGCTGATCCTAAAATTCATATGAAAATTCAATGGGTCCAGAAGAGCTAAAACAATTGTAAAAAAGAAGAACAAAGTCAGAGGATTTAAACTGTCCATTTTCAAAACTTACTACAAGGCTACAGAAATCAAGACAATGAGGTACTGCCATAAGGAGAAACATATGACTCAATGCAATAACACTGAGAGTCTAGAAATAAACCCTCACATTTATGATTGACTTTCAACAAAAGTACCAATACAATTAAATGGGGGCAGGGAGGGAATAATAGTATTTTCCACAGATGGTCTGGGATAATCAGATATCTACATGCAAAAAAAGAAAAAAAAAGTTGAACCTCATATCATATACAAAAATTAACTCAAAATGTATTAAAAACCTGAATGTAAATCTTCATGATTTTTGGATTAATGTTTTTTAAATATGATACAAAAGCACAAGCGATCAAAGGAAAAATAGATTAAATGAACAGAATTAAATGCCTAAATGATTTTTGAGACAAGTACAGTTGGAGTTCCTCAAGGAGAGGAAAATGAGAGTTAAAAAGTATTAAGGGAGCGGCACCTGGGTGGTTTAGTGGGTTAAGCGTCTGACTTCTGCTCAGGTCATGATCCCAAGGTCCTGGGATTGAGCCCCGCATCAGGCTCCCTGCTCAGCGGGGAGCTTACTTCTCCCTCTCCCGTTCCCCCTGCTTCTGCTCTGTCTCTCTCTGTCAAATAAAATTTCTTAAAAAAGTATTAAGGAAATAACATATGAAATATTTTCAAATTTGATGAAATATAAACCTATACATTCAACAAGCTCAATGAATTTGGAACACAAAATACATGAAGAAACTGCACAATGGCACATCATACTGAAGTTACTTAAAATGGTAATAACAGAAAAATATTTAAAATAGACATAGATAAAAGGCAAATCATGTACAATTACAAAGATAAGAATGTCAACAGACTTCTTGGAAACAACACAAGCAAAAGAGAATAGAGCAACAGCTTTAAAATAATGAAAGAAAACATTATCACCTCAAATTCTACACTCACTGAAAGTGTCTTTCTAAAACAAAAGTGAAATGAACACTTTTTCAGACATATATAGATAAAAGAATTCGTCACTAACAGACTGCTCTACAAGAAATAGAAGAACTCCACCAGGCGGAAGGAGATGATAAAGGATGGAAATCTGGATCTACCTAAACCGTGAAGGACACTGGAAAAGGTGAAGATGACAAAAAGCAAATCGGTGGTTGCTGAGGCTGGGATGGGTCTCAGGAAGGAACTGGACAGTTATTACAATGGAATTTGAGGAAATTTAGAGGGTGATAGATATGTTCCTTACCTTTATTACAGAGTGTGGTTTCATGGGAGAATAATTTGCCAACACTTAACAAATTATACACTTTCATTATGTGCAGTTTATTGTACGTCAATTATCATAAAATAAATCAGTTAAGTAAACAAAAAATTTTGAGTTGCCAGTGAAATATCCAAGTAGACCAGATCAAGATTAGAACAGTAGAACAGTTTGCTTGTTGGACAGAAGAGCCTGCAACTCAGGGGAAGAACTAGATTTACAGTTACTTGGGTTCAGATAACCTTTGAATTAAATGAGAGCATCATGTTGATAAGCCTGAGTTGTGGATTCAGTCAGCCTGAACTTGAACACTGGCTTTGCTACTTACTACCCATGCAACTTAATTTTTTTTTAAATTCTTCATGCCTCACTGTAAATGGGCAGAATGATAATACCAATATCACAAATTCATTACCTTAAGTCCTCAATAAAGGTTACAGAAATAACAACAGAAAAGTCTTGGGAGTGAATTAGAGCTCACACAGGAAGCAACGCATTAGAGCAGTGTTTCATGGCCCTTTTTTTCACTATTGATGCCCTAAGAAGCCTTTTTGAAGAATTTTTCCTAATCCTTGCCACCTCATGAAATTTTACCACAGTTATACTATGTATCTATTTTGCTAGTATGATCTTTGGAGGGCCACATACCTTTGTAATGACCATGATTTTTTTTTTTTCATCCCCCAAGAATCAGTGTTTACTCCTGTGGGGATAATATTGTGACTTCCTACCCCAAGTTGAGAATGAATGGATTCTTGGAAGACAGAAATTGGATTGTCATATTTAGGGTGAAGAGTCGAGGATAAATGGCATAAGGTATGACTGAATTCATTAGGCTTTTTCTAAATAAGCCAAAAACTGTGAAAGAATTAAACCAACTCAGCACTCAACTCAAACCAACTCAAAATAAATGGTACCATTATTAACCTATACGTACATATATAGGTATATTTATATTCTACTGATGCTCTTTAAGTATATTTTGAGATATCATATGTGAAACAATCAAGACAGTGCCTGAAGACAATCTCAAAGGTGATTTTAGTTGATATGAAGACCACAAGACACCCCTCTCCCAGCACAGCATTACTTAATCTTCTCCCAGGTTCAGCCCCTCCCAACACAACATCGGACCATAATTCCTTTTCTCAACAGATTCTTGTGGGTGTTTATTGTGTGTGAAAATTAAAACATCTCAGTTTTTCACTTCTATAAATAATAACATAATGAATATCTGTATATAATAATTTTTTTTAAAGATTGTATTTATTTGACAGAAAGAGACACAGCAAGAGAGGGAACACAAGCAGGGGGAGTCGGAGAGGGAGAAGCAAGGAGCCCGAGGCGGGGGCTCGATCCCAGGACCCTGGGATCATAACCTGAGCCGAAGGCAGACGCTTAACGACTGAGCCAGCCAGGCGCCCCATATATGTCAATTTTTTTTTTTAAAAAAGAAAAGTATAAGTTTTGCTTTTTCTTTTCTTGTTTGTAACCATCCTTCCCCCCCCCCCTTTTTTTTTCCAGAGTGAGAAAAATCATGATTATTCAGCTTGGAGACCAGGAAACTGGCCAAAAAACTTTTTATATTAAATTCTGTGATAAATGTGCATTCTGCTGTCATCGTCTAGTGGCAGTGAACTACAAATGATATATGGATATGAAAACACCTGCCACTTCTTATGCGCAAAATGTCTCCATAAAGCTCTTTCTGCAGAAATATAGGCAGTGGAATATCTTACACTGATACAGGACCTTCTATTAGAAAAAGCTTGAATTCTTAGCAAACTACAGGTGCAGAAAGATCACATGTATCCACCTTTGAGTGGGCAGGACAATATCTGTTGCTTTGGGACAGAAGAGGAAGAAGTTGGGACCAGGAAGAGACCTAGGGGACAATCTAACCACTTACTCCGCCTTCCCTATGAGTTGTAATCAATTGCTAAAAAAGGCACAAGGAGCCAAACGTTGGTTAAGCATCAGTTTAGTCATCTAAAGTATGAAATTCACTGTTCATCCTGTGTGGGAGGATAATGACTTAGTGTCTAAAAGGAAATGAAGCCATTAGCTTCCCCTTGAATTAAAAATCACCTGCACAAATAAGAGACTTAACCTGCTGAATTACCTGCTCAGCCAGAAGAGAAGATGTTAGAACAGAGATGGTGGAGACCTGGATAATAAGTGAAAAAAAGGTTGTTTCTGTTTTGTCTAGCACAGTTCTCAGAGTGGATCCAAGGACCGCAGCATCAACATCACTTGGAAACCTGTTAGAAAGGCAAATTCTTGGACCCTATCCCCAAAGTACTGAATCAAAAATTCTGGGGAAGGGGCCCAAAAATATGTTTTATGAAGTCTTCCAAATGATTCTGGTGCCCATCAAAATTTGAGTGACTGGTCTACATATAGAGAATAGAAAAACAAGACCCATGTGGTCCGTGGGACAGAAAGCCAATCCTGCTTCCTGCATCAGAAGGAAAATTACCCACACCTGGGATCTGGCCTGTGGATATCAGGTTCTCACCAATCAGATGAATTCTCTTTGATTAATGGAGGACGAGTGGGAAGGAGCTCACTTCTTCAGAGGCCAAAGTAGAAAGAAAAGGAAGAAATTGGCTATTGTATCTGAACTTAAGGTAAAGCCAAGCACCTGTTCACCAATAATATGTGAATGCCTAAAGGGGGTCCTCTGTTGTGTGGATTTGTTTTTTATCTTCTGGTTACTTTGGCAAGGATTCTGAAAGATGCATAATCTTTTTTTTTTTTTTGGTTGATAACACCATATTATGTTTAAAACAAACAAACAAAAAAAGCAGGGCTATCTCCTGTAGTTTCTTCTAAAACTTGCTGAAATATCTAAAAAAAATTAGATTACAAAGTCTTCAAAGTTTAGTGTGCAGGTACTTCCTCTGCCAGTGCGAAAGAAAGAAAGAAAAAAAGAATGAAAGAGAGAAACTCATTCTAAAAACATAGAAACCAGGAGGCAGGAATAAGAAAAAACATTAGCCTTGATAAACATGTACATAAATTTTTAAAGACAACCATTTTAAGCCAATATTTGCACATCACTTCGCTATCAAATATTCAAATAGTAGTTTCTTAATAGAATGAATAAATGTTCATTCCATGATAAAAGTTACTAAAGAACAGTTAAGAAAAAAAATGGAAGACAAGTAAACTGTGAACTTAGAATTGAGTAATACCAAAGGTAATTTTTTTTATAAGGATTTTCCATTTTTTTAAGATTTTTTTTTATTTTAAAGGAATCTCTACACCCAATGTGGGACTTGGACTTAGGGCCCGAAGATCAAGAATCTCATGCTCTACCAACTGAGCCAGCCAGGCATCCAAAGGTAATCTTTTTTAACACAGTGTCTTTGTCCATTAGATGATAATAGGAATACTAGTGTGTGTGTGTGTGTGTGTGTGTGTGTGTGTGTGTGTAGAGGGAGAGGGAGAGAAAGATGCTCAAATAAGTTTGAAAAATAATTTAAGCAAAATTAAACAGATTTCTTTTCTGCACAACTCCTCAGAGGCTTCAGATAAATAAACTAATGTGGTTTTTAAATTTCTAAGGTCTGATATGCAGCACTTCTCAAACTTGCTTCCCTATGGAATCCTTATTTCTCTACATATCTACCATCTCTCATCAGATCCAGCTTAGGAAATGGTGACCCATCTTTGCTGTCTTCATTCTTGTTTGTGTCTTTTCAGATTAGTTTATATCAATGTGGAAACTGTACCATTTCCCTGATCATTTGAATTCCCAACTGGGTAATATAGTTATTTAAATAATTGAAAATTAAGTATAAATTTTGTACAACTTATCCATCTGTTATCACATCTGAATTTTTCAGTCTTACTTATATCCTCCCTTCTTTGCTTTTTGGTTTTAGATTATATAAAATTGATTTTACGTTCCAGTTCAACAAATATTTATGAAATACTTATAATAGGTCCTGAAGTTCAAATGGGGGTAGATGAAATGCAATAATAAAACATATTTCTTAGGAGTTGCAACATTTGTAAACCATATCTGGATACAGAACCAGTGCTGAAAAGCATTTTACAGTCAAAATCGTAGAAAAAAATACATTTTATCTGAAACTTCACCATCTACTCTTGAAGTAGGATAACATTTTGTTTAGTATGATGGGTTTTTTTCCTTCTGTACTTCTCCTTTTTACTTCATCCCCTCCAAGTGCACAGTAAACTCATTGCCTCAGGGAAGGAAAGCAATTTGTCAGAAAGTAGGAAAAAGGGTGTCTTAAGGGCTTTTAGTTTACGAATGTGTCAATTCATTAAGGGGATTTTGCTTGAAGCCTATGAAGCAAACAAAAGATGAATTTTCCTGTCCTGGATGGAAGACATATGGAGTAGAGATTTTGAGAGGAAAACATGAGAGGGACCTGGAGAGAGGAATCCTGTGCTTGGGAGCCTGTTGGAGTCTAGGGCTGTGGTAAAATCTCAGGAAAGGCTCGGTGGTGTGGCATGTCTGCATAAAAGACCGTTTGGACAGCTTATCAGATATTTTCATGCTCTAGCAGGGCTGGAAGGTAGCAGAATTACTTCAGGGCCATCAGGACATAACTTTAAAGACCGGTGATCTGCAGATCCTAGGAGTTTCAGACTTCATCCTGTCACATCCCTCGGCACCATGTAAAAGTTCAAAAACTAGAAGCCTAAGGAAAGCAGAAACCCCAAAATAACTTTCTACTATACCAGGAAGATGGGAGCTCGTATTAGATTGTCACTAAAAAAAGATTTTGTTTGAATCTGTAGATTGAATTTCATAACTGCTATACCTGACAGGAAATGCCTTTTTGGTACCAGAGAAATTGAATTTTATTTAATAGGTAACATTTAATGGCTGAAATAAAATGCTACCCTTCCCCTCTATAGTCTATAAAAGTTTTAAAAAATAAATTTTAAGAAAACAAGGAAAGAAACTCTTAGCTATTATATCATGTTTCAATTGTAATAGATTATCTTCTCTGCCACTTCTGTGATGTTAAGGGTAGAAAAAATCTCGTTCAAAAGAAGTCATGGAAGTGAACACAGAAAGCTCATGATGAGGAAGAGCGAGCAGTCTGTTTGGGCCCCAAGATCATAGTTTTTAATGTCTTAAACTACTTCCTTAGTCCTACTTCAAATGTAAGATATGTGGCCTAAAAGGGGAGATAGAAGCAGAAATATCATCAGCTTGTCATCACGGGTCATAACTTCCTTAGTTAAATCCTTTCCTAAATTGATTCAAGGATAGACATTCCTTTAAGGAGCTGTTAACAAGGTCCACCTCCATCCCCAAATTTCATTCCCAACTCCATTGGGTTTTGCTACCCAGAAGATTCTTTACACAGAGAAAGAGACAAAGACAAGAAGAGCATCAGAAACTCTTCTTGACATTGATATTGTTGAATGGAAAACAACCAAACAACAATCTTTTCAACTGTGGTTCTCAAATCTGGCTGCATATGAAAATCATTGGAGATTAAAAAAAAAATACACTCCTGTTATTACTCAGACTAGGTGTGGCCTTGTGCCTGCATCAACTGAATAAAAGTCTATGTCAGTGATTGCCAGTTGGCTCTTTTTTTTTTTTTTAAAGATTTTATTTATTTATTTGAGAGAGAGAATGAGAGAGAGAGTGAACATGAGAGGTGAGAGGGTCAGAGGGAGAACCAGACTCCCTGCCGAGCAGGGAGCCCGATGCGGGACTCGATCCCGGGACTCCAGGATCATGACCTGAGCCGAAGGCAGTCGCTTAACCAACTGAGCCACCCAGGCGCCCCGCCAGTTGGCTCTTAATCCACATCCTCCCCTCTTTGTGTCCATACAAATGGCTTTAAGGAGCCAGGCACTGTTCTAGACACCAAGGATATACAAGGGAACGAAGTTAACTAAAAATTTCTGCCTTTCTGGAGCTTCTGTTACAGTAGGAACAAAAAGAGAGATAAATAAGTTAGCAAAATATGAAATATGTCAGATGGTAAGAAAAGCTGTGAAGGAAAATAAATTAGAGAAGTTACTTACTTTTATAACTTTATAGATTTTAGATGTAAAAATATTGGGTAAGAAACCCAGTGAAGGCAGGCAGATTTGGTGTGTAAACAGGTTAAATAACTGAACTTACCAGCATAAGGCCATTATCAAAGTCTTGTAGATGCCCTTCAAAATACTTCACCAGGTAAAGTAGTTGGAAGTCTCTGGAATAGGAATGTTGCTTAAAATGTAGCGCCTTAGGATGGCAGTGTCTGTCGGAAAGTGTGACACCACTACACCCAGTCTTGGCTTATATTCAAGCTTAGCTTCTCAAAAGGAAGTTTTCTGATTTTCTAGTGTCAATGGGTTGAAGAAAAATCACTGCCAGCTTTTCAAGTAGAAGCATGAACTTAGCCCTGACAAGGGTCAAGTCCTGGGAGGTTGGTGAGGGCAGTGGGAAGACGTGTTGAGTTAATGACCCTAAACTGTTGGTTAGGCTGGGCCCTAAAGAGAATGGCCTGTGGTCCAATGGGGAGGGAAAAGTTCAGGGACCATTGGCACTGTTATTTTTTTTTTATTTAAATTCAATTTAGGGGCGCCTGGGTGGCTCAGTCGGTTAAGCATCTGCCTTTGGCTCAGGTCATGATCCCAGGGTTCTGGGATGGAGCCCAGCATCGGGCTCCCTGCTCCGCAGGAAGCCTGCTTCTCCCTCTCCCACTCCCCCTACTTGTGTTCCCTCTCTCGCTGTGTCTCTCTCTGTCAAATAAATAAATAAAATCTTTAAAAAAAATTCAATTTAATTAACATATAGTGTATTATTAGTGTCAGGGGTAGAATTTAGTGATTCATCAGTTGCATATAACACCCAGTGCTCATTACATAAAGTGCCCTCCTTAATGCCCATCACCCAATTACCCCTCACCCACCCTCAGTTTGTTTCCTATAGTTAAAAGTCTCTTATGGTTTGCCTCCCTCTCTGTTTTTAATGTTATTTTATTTCTCCTTTCTTCCCCTATGTTCATCTGTTTTGTTTCCTAAATTCTACATATGAGTGAAATTATGTGGTATTTGTCTTTCTCTGACTGACTTATTTTGCTTAGTGTAATATCCTCTAGTTCCATCCATGTCATTGCAAATGGAAAGATGTCATTCTTTTTGATGGCTGAGTAATATTCCATTTCATAGATAGACAGATAGATGATAGATAGATAGATAGATAGATAGATAGATAGATAGATAGATAGATAGATGATAGATAATAGATTGGCTGGGCCTTAAGGAGGGTGGTGTGTGTGTGTGTGTGTGTGTGTGTGTGTGTGTGTTACCACATCTTCTTTAACCATTCATCTGTCAGTGGACATCTGGGCTCTTTCCATAGTTTGGCTATTGTGGACATTGCTGCTATAAACACTGGGGTGCGTGTGCCCCTTTGGATCACTATTTTTGTATCCTTTAGATAAATACCTAGTAGTGCAATTGCTGGGTCGTAGGGTAGCTCTATTTTTAACTTCTTGAGGAACCTTCATACTGTTTCCCAGAGTGGCTACCACAGTTTGCATTCCCACTAACAGTGTAAGAGGGTTCCCCTTTCTCTGCATCCTTGCCAACATCTACTGTTTCCCGAGCTGTTAATTTTAACCACTCTGACCAGTGTCAGATGGTATCTCATTGTGGTTTTGATTTGTATTTCCCTGATGATGAGTGATATTGAGCATTTTTTTCATTTAGCCATTTGTATATCTTCTTTGGAAAAATGTCTGTTCATGTCTTCTGCCTATTTCTTGATTGGATTTTTTATTTTTTGGAGGTTGAGTTCAACAAGTTCTTTATAGATTTTTAGATACTAGCCATTTATCTGATATGTCATTTGTGAATATCTTCTCCCATTCCATAGGTTGCCTTTAGTTTTGTTGATTGTTTCCTTTACTGTGCAAAAGCTTTTTATCCTGATGAAGTCCCAATAGTTCATTTTCCCTTTTGTATCCCTTGCCTCTGGAGATGTGTCTAGCAAGAAGTTGCTGCAGCCGAGGTCAAAGAGCCTGCTGCCTGTGTTCTCCTCTAGGGTGATGGATTTCTCTCTCACATTTAGATCTTTCATCCAGTTTGAATTTATTTTTGTGTATGCTGTAAGAAAGTGGTCCAGTTTCATTTTTCTGCATGTGGCTGTCCAATTTTCCCAACCCTGTTTGTTGAAGAGACTATCTTTTTTTACACTGGATATTCTTTCTGTGTCAAAAATTAGTGGGCTCTTAGAGTTGAGGGTCCATTTCTGGGTTCTCTATTCTGTTCCATTGATCTATGTGTCTGTTTTTGCCGTTGGCACTGGTTTAATTACCCAAGGTAATGGAGTTTCAGTGCCAGTGTTTCAATGTAGTGGCCATTCTTGACATCAAGTTGATGCAGGGATCCCCATTCAGGTTGCAGCTTAACTCTGGAGAAAGTGGAGATCAGAACCCCAGACTGTCCTGAGATTTGATCAGGACTTTATGATGTCAGCAACCTTGATCCTGCCCAGGAATCCACTTCTCTATCAAGGGAAAATGCATGGATTTAGAAGGCATGTCAAGCAGGAGCTACACAGAACAATTACCTATACCCTTCCCACACAATTGTACTGAAAGTATTTAACTCACATTTCTCCAATACCTATAGATACCAAGTACTGAACTAGGTATAAGAAAGCAATACAAAGGATGAAATATTTAGGCCTCACCTCCAAGGAGCACATGCTTCATGGGAAAGGCAGGTAAAGAAATCAGCAATTACAATCTCTTGTGATGAATGCAGGGCAGTGAGAAGCACAAAGGCATTAAGGGTACATCTATAACAGCATAGGAAGATCAGTGATTGAAATGGTGATAGCCTTGAGATGATTCTTAAAGGACAAGTAGGACTTCCCGAGGAGCTGCGCATCAGAGCTCCAAGCAGAAGATGAAACAGTTGCAAAGCAAAGATAGCTTTGGACACTGGAGAACAGTAAGGTGTTTGGTATGTTGCTGCCTCTACACTGTGATAGACACATGATATATACCACTGGGCTTTGGGTATTGATTAATATCACTGCATACTCTAGTCTATCCTGAGTAAATCTTGTTTTTTTTTCAATAATATTATTTATTTATTTTTGTTTTAAAATATTTCCCTTTATAATCTTTATATACTTGTTTTGAAAATATTTAAATAATGTAGGCATTTATAAAATTAAAAAAATGAAAAGTTACTTTTCCTCTCCCCTAAACACCCACTTTCCTCTCTAGAGGGGACCACTGAAAGAACGCTTTCACATACATTTGTAAATGTATTTATATCTATGTAATATACATGTAAAAATAAACAGATTTTAATCATACTATAATATCCATCTATATATTGATCTCTGCCTTTCCTTTTTCCATTCCTTTTCTATTTAATAATGTGTCTTGGAGATAGTCAAATATTAGAACATACAGCTCTTTCTCATTCTCTTAAATCTTTGTACAGTATTTTATGATTAGAATTTATCATAATTGAATTACTACCCTATTGTTAGACATTAGTTTGATTCCAGTTTTTCTGCTTAATAAACAATACATAATGAACATTTTCTGTGCCTTTATGCACACCTGGAAATATTTCTCTAGGTTAGAATCCTAGAAATAGAATTATTGGGTCAAGGAGTAAGCACATTTTAAATTTTCATAAATACTGCCAATTGGTCCTTCAGAAAGTCTATACCAATTTATATTCTCATCAATAGTGTATAAGAGTCAGAACTTTTTTCTTACTTTAACATTTTCATTTAACATTTCTCTCTATTCTCTTTGCCCAAAGGCTCAGATTTTTGCTTTCCAGTCATCTTGAATCATGGATTTGGGTGGTGTGTGTGTGTATGTATGTGAAAAATGATTGGATGGCACAGAGTTGGAAAATTTTAAACAATCCTCGTTTTCTTGCCTTGTATTATTTGTGAAGATAATGTTTCTCATCATCTTTGCTAAAAATTGTAATATTATTCACCAGTGCCTCATTACAAAATCCTTTGCTATAACGGTGGTCATTAATTCCTTAATTCAAAACACACTCATATTTTATATCTCTCCAAGAATATTATGGAGATTTTCATATGGAATAGGTAGCTACTCACATACTATTGAATAGAGTGTTCCTCTTCCATGTCAGAAGGTCAAATCTTTAAGAGACATATTCAGAGTTCCAGTCAGACAATCTATTTTGATATCTCAAAGAAGGAAACAGATTAAGCTCATATCTCTACTACTATGCAGAAAGCCTATAATGAAGATTCTATCTGCTTCCAAAGATGAGAATCTAATTGGAATTTTACTAAATTGACTTTTAATTGCAAAATATTCATTGTTCAAGCTTATTAGCAATAGACTTCCAGGATTCTGAACTGGGTTATCTCCTTCCTCAAAAGAGTTCCTCTGAGCCAATGCTTCCCCAACCACCTTACTCTTCCAGACTGGGTGGTTAAGGATTGTCTCTCAAGACTGGATCTCATAACAGGTGACAATGGGTTAACCTGAGTTTCAGGTTTTGCCACTCTTCCTTTATCACATGTAACTGAGATTTAACTTGGGCTAAAAAAAGATATCTCGCTCTTTGAACTATATTTATTTAGCCAAGCAGTTTCATGCTGAATTGAAAAACCAAGAGAAATCATATCATCCTAAAGTACAAAACTGAGCAGTTATTGCTAACAGCTTTTCTGTTGTGTCATACGTGTGCTTCTTTACCTTTTGCTTTCCCGTGCCTCATGGATTTTTCAGAGCCTGACACTACAGATGGTTTGGAGATTACGTCTAACCACCAACTGATCTATCCAGGCTGTTCCTATTTTTTAAATGGTTAACTGAGACCAGTGTAAGCATCTCATTTATCAGTCTTTTCTTGGTGAAGGGTAATTTTTCCTCTATTTTCAAAATAATCTCTATTCATTTGGTTGTCAAGTAGTCTTCTCTGACTATGGGCAAATAGGTTATTTATTGCCAAGTTAGCTTTTGCTTCGCACAGGAAATCACTGGGAAGGTAGGTTGGAAGCTGAGTCACATCATCTTTGGGATCATTAGAGACAGGGTAATATTTTGTGGCTGTCAGCCTTTAGGCTTCTAGCATGGTAGAAGGGTCATCCTTCGGGGAGAACATAATGATCCCAGAATGTTGGCTGACAGGGTCTTGAGCTGTGCTTTTATTATGTTCAATTTATCAGTCTCTTTGGAAAGAATTGACCATGGGGTTCTTTCAAAACATTTGAAATCTTTGGATAAAAGCTCAGAGACAGGCTCTTCCTACTTCCATTAATTTCATAATCAATGATGTCAATTTGTCACTATTAATAATGTTTCCACCACTTTCCCCAGGCTTTCCTGAACTTAAAAGCTTCTAGATAAACTCCTCCTCCTCTTCTTCCTTCTCTCTTGCTCTCTCTCTCTTTTTTTTTCTTTTTTCTTTTTCCTGATCTTAGTTTTCCCCATTTTGCTGGCTATACTCAAATTTACTTCACTTTTCCCCTGGCCATCAAAACGTTTTTTATGCTCTTGCAAGACATCATAGTATAGTTTACAATACCCAGTCTAAGATGAAATTTTTGAAAGCTGACAACCTGAATTATGAATGTCTGTTTTTAACTTTTTACATTTTACCCATGTGGTTAAGTTTGAGCTTTTTGGATTTTCTCACAAAAGTGATATATGTAAGCTTGGTTTTCAATTTATTGAGAAATTCTTTTTATGATATTCCAAGTCTCTCCAATCCCATTTGTTTGTTCTCTCCTGTACCTTATTAAAGCAAAGCAAAACATAAGCACTTTTTAATATTTTTATATCTGAATAAAAATATCATTATTTATTAAGATTTTTGAATCTTAAAGATGGCTAAATGTGGATTAACATATGGTAGTGGTTAATTGTAGTCTGGCATCAACACGCTTGGGTTGGAATATGCATCTGCTTTGTAACTTTGGGCAAATTACTCCACCACTCTGGGCTTTGGATTCCTTATGCATAAATAATACTATTAATACTAAGCTCCTAGAGTCACCTTAAGAATTAGGTAACAGAATACTTCAGATTATTTAACAGAGTGCATGACATAGTGAGAACCCAACACATCTTACCTATAATAATGATAGATAATAGCAATATAATAATGATGATATATAAAATATAATTATAATGGCACTACTGTAAAAATATTCTAGCCAGTAGCATATATCTTCTAAGTTCCTTTAGCTAGATCTGCCTCTAGGATATAAACAGGAACAGGCTTGCAGTTCACAAGGACCCAAGAAGCCACACTGAATTATAAACAGCCTCATTAGGACTAGGTATAGATGAGGACTGAGTAGGTAGTTTAGGAGGAGGAAATAGGAATACCAAAGTGCTAGGTGAGGAAAGGAGAGGAGCCTGGCCATCTGGGAGTATGAGAGGGGCAAGGGGGAAACTGAGACAGATGTGTACTTGGAATCAAGGATTCAGGAAAAGAAATAAGGTAAAAGGAATCCAATTTCTAAACAGAGAGACTGGGAAACAGGAAAAGGTTTTCTGCATCAGATACAGATGAACTCAGATGTGGGCTGAACCCAGGGAAGGCTCTGGGCCATTTTGCTTGTAAAAGACCTGCTTGGACTTGGAGCAGAAATCAACATTTTATTAAAAAAAAAATCCAGAGGCCACTAGAGTTAAATATTTTACTGAAGAATTTGTAAAAAGACTGAAGAGGTTTTACATCACTTAGCACACAATAATTCACTCCAAAATTCTTTACAGTCTGTTTTTCTCCCAAAGTCACATCTCAGCTTTGGCCTTTTCTGACTCTCCTCTTCTTTACACCCACAGTCTTATTATTTCTGACCCTCTGATCCTCATCACCATCTAATCTGCCATCTTGCTGGTATTGTAAAAACCACCTAACTGACCTCCCAGGTTCTGTGCTGTCCTACTACTGTCCATTCTCAACCTAGGAACTGTAGTAATCCTTTTAAAACTTAAGTTTTGCCAGTACTATGCTCACAAGCTTCTGGTAACTTCCCATCTCATTCAAAATAAATCTGAATTCCTTACTGAGGTAACAGTCTATCCTATGGCCCTCAATGATTCTTGTCTCCTGGTATGTATGCCCATATGTAGTTTCCTCTCTCACTGAATAGTCCTGACCTATGTAACCAATAGGACATTGTAGAAATAACAGTGTGTGACTTCTGAGAGCAAGTCATAAAAAACACAGCGGCTTCTGTCTTGCACGCTCTTACATCATTCTCTCTCTCCAGGAAAGCTAGCTGCCCTGTTGGAAGGACACTCCAGCATCCCTATGGAGAAGTCCACCTAGTCAGGAACTGAGGCCTTCCAGCAACAGCCAGCAATGCTAGAAGGCATGTGAATGAGCCAAACTGGAGATGGATCCTCCAGTCCAAGTCAAGCCTTCAGATGACCACAGCCCTAGCAGACATCTCCCTGCAACTTTCTGAGAGAATCTGAGGCAGGGCATCCAACTAAATGACTCCTGGATTTTTGCCCCGAAGAATCTTTGTGAAATAATACGTATTTATTGTGTTAAGCTGCTAAGTTTTGGAATACTGGGTTATGCAGCAATAGATAACTAATACACTTATCACTAAAAGGACACCCTTGCTATGATCTCTCCATTACTTCACTGGCTTCATCTCTTGCTAATCTGCCCTTTTGCTCAACCCACTCCAGCCACATCAACCTTTTCTTTAAATCAGCATGCTTCTGCCTAAGGCTGATAGCCTTTGCCAAGAACTTCTTGCCCATTTCAGGTTTTTGTTCAAATATGACCCTTTCAGTGCTCTATGACCATCATCAAACTCCTTTCCCCCTTTTCTATTTTGCTCCCCTCTACACCATTTATCAACAACACTTGACATATGGTATATTTTACTTTTTTGTTTTTCCTCTCCCTCCATGATAATGTAAGCTCTATGAGGGTGGAGATATTTGTCGTTTTGTTTGTTTGTTGTTGTTTACTGATATCTGCCTGGTACTTAGAACAGTGGCTGGCCAATACTGAATGGTTAATAAACACTTATTAAATTAATTAATGTAATCTTCTGGGATTTTATTGTTTATTTACCTATTTTCCCCTCATTTGACTGTAAACTTCTTAAAACCAGGCACTATATCTTACTCATCTTTATATTTCTGTCATCTATATGGTAACATATGGAATAACAGATCCATTTACTTAAGTAGAAAAAGCGGTTTGAGCTATTTTTGGAACTTATACCACAGGGAATATTTTTAGAAGTTAAATATGAGCTTAAATATGTATGGATTTAAAAATACTTTGAGTCTGTGATCTCATGTAATTAGCAAAGATTACTTAAAAACAAATAGCACAAAAAATTGAACTTAAAAACAGCAAGATGAATTTATCATGTAGTTTTAAAACCAATGGTGTTTAAACTCAATAATATGTTAGACATAAAAATTAATTTCATTGTATTTTAATCCCCCTTGAGAATTTGTTCTTCATTTGAGCAGGTTGTATCTACCAGTTTGCAAATGAAACTGCTTTTGTAAATTGGCAAACTAGAGTTCATTAGAGAGTAGGCATTTTTTATTTTTTTTAATTTCTAGGGCTTTTTTTGAAAGATTTTATTTATTTATTCATGAGAGACAGAGAGAGAGAGAGAGAGAGAGGCAGAGGGAGAAGCAGGCTTCCCAAGGAGCAGGGAGCCCGATGCGGTACTTGATCCCAGGACCCCAGGATCATGACCTGAGCCGAAGGCAGACACTTAACCATCTCAGTCACCCAGGTGCCCCCAAATAGGCATTTTTAAACAAATATTTTCAACTTTGAGAAAATTTGTAATTACATAATCATTTTCCCTATACTTATATTTTTGCATTTAAATAGCTTCATAGAAAACAAGCTGAGTTATCTATGTTCAATATTTCTTATATGATTTTCTAGTCATTGCTAATTATAAATTACATGGGGAAAAGAAATCAGTGCAAAATGGGATCTACCAATCTGTCATTTTCTAAAGACAACTTTTAAAAGATAAAAACTCCATTGTTTCATAGAGAGACATTGTATCAGTGTTGAACAAGTCCTGGTATATTAAAAAGTTCAGTTGACTTATCTAAAGTCAAATATGCAATTACAGGCAGAAACACAGCCACAATTCAGTGGTCTAAACTTCTGGTTAATTATTTTGCTCACTATCCTATTCTGCTTCCTAAAGTGTTTGAGAAGGTTGTATAATGGGTATCTCTCCTCTGAGAGTTGAGGCTGCTATTATGTGAAACAAACCCATTACTAAGGTAGTCATGGGGGGAGGGAGAGATGGATATGGGAGGAGGAAAATTATACATATACTTGAACTAAAGTCTGCAATGTTAAAATGCAAGATTCATAAGTTGCTAACTGTCCTTAATATTCAAAGACAACTTGAGGTAGAAGTAGGAGATGGAGGTTGGTCAATGGGGGAGGTTACCCTATTTAGTCCCAGAGATGAGAAGTGCTGTGGAATGCCCAGGAAATATTGGGGAGGATGGGGAGAAGTGTATAGCACTATTTAAAATTTTGTATTATTATTATATTAGAAAAAAATAGATGCATTCCTCTTGAAAATTCACAGGGAATAATGCAGGAACCACAATAGTTTGGTTTTTACTAAGTTTATTCACTCAGGCTTTTGGAATCAGATTTTGAGTACTTTCACTGTTGACTATGATGTTAGCTGTGGGTTTGTCATATATGACCTTTATTATGTTGAGGTATGTTCCTTCTATAGCAAATTTGTTGAGAGTTTTATCATAAAAGGATGTGGAATTTTGTCAAATGCTTTTTCTAAATCTATTGAAATGATCATGTGATTGTTGTCTTTCATTCTATTAATGTGATGTATCACATTTATTGATTTGCGTTGAGTTGAGCCATCCTTTTATTTCAGAGATAAATCCCACCTGATTGTGGGCCAGAACTGGTGGCATACACACACTCAGCTGTGGGGGCCACCTGCAGGTGTCTATGTAGTGATAAAGGAAATTTTCAACTTTTAATGTTTGTAGGTCCTGCTCCTGGGCTCCCAGGGAAGCTATCCTTTAACATTTACCAAGGTCAAAATGACTCGGCAAAACCTCAAAGCATGGGCTCTATTTCTGCCCCAAGCATACATTGTACATCTGTTGCATTAAAGAAAATAACCAAAAAGGGGACTTTTGAACACAAAAGATAAGAAAAAATAAGAAACTTCCCTGGTTCCCATAAGATTAAAGTCATACAGCCCTGCATATAGGAGTAACTGAAGATAAGGTCTGCAATGTTGTCTAATAATTTGTAACTTTTTATGTAAAAATTGTATATAACCCTTAACCAAATGTTCCCTTACCAGAGCACTCTTTGTGAAGATTGTGTATCCCAGGCAGCTGTTTTTAACTCGGGCTTCAATAAAACTATTTTTTTTTTAGAAATTCTCAAGGGTTGCTTCATTTTACCTCGACAGTGATGGGAGGGGCCTACTGCAGACACACATGTAGTGGCAAGGACAACGGCCAGCAGCTAGGGCCAGGACCACCTTTGGGTACATAGCAGTGGCAGGAGCCCTGGCTATCCAGCTGGAGCCCCGGCGAGCATGTGCAGGGCACTGGAGGCCAGAGACAGGACTTCTGGGGCTGGATGCAGTTCCAGAGCTAGAGGTGCTGCATCCAAGTGAGCCACAGGTCAGCTGTGGGTGCCTTGGCTGTTGGGGTGCACTCTAGCTGCAAACACACAGACACACACACAGACACAAAGGTCAGCTGTGGGTGCCTTGGCTGTTGGGGTGCACTCTGGCTGCCAATACACACGTCCAGCTCAGGAGTGGACACACACACACACACACACACCCAGCTCAGGATTGGTCCGAGGGCATGCAACACACACACACACACACACACACCCAGCTCAGGATTGGTCCGAGGGCATGCAACACACACACACACACACACACCCAGCTCAGGATTGGTCCGAGGGCATGCAACACACACACACACACACACCCAGCTCAGGATTGGTCCGAGGGCATGCAACACACACACACACACACACACCCAGCTCAGGATTGGTCCGAGGGCATGCAACACACACACACACACACACCCAGCTCAGGATTGGTCCGAGGGCATGCAACACACACACACACACACACACCCAGCTCAGGATTGGTCCGAGGGCATGCAACACACACACACACACACACCCAGCTCAGGATTGGTCCGAGGGCATGCAACACACACACACACACACACACCCAGCTCAGGATTGGTCCGAGGGCATGCAACACACACACACACACCCACACACACCCACACACACACCCAGCTCAGGATTGGTCCGAGGGCATGCAACACACACACACACACACACACCCAGCTCAGGATTGGTCCGAGGGCATGCAACACACACACACACACACACACACACACCCAGCTCAGGATTGGTCCGAGGGCATGCAACACACACACACACACCCACACACACCCACACACACACCCAGCTCAGGATTGGTCCGAGGGCATGCAATACACACACACACACACACACCCAGCTCAGGATTGGTCCGAGGGCATGCAACACACACCCACACACACACACACCCACACACACACCCAGCTCAGGATTGGTCCGAGGGCATGCAACACACACACACACACACACACACACACCCCCAGCTCAGGATTGGTCCGAGGGCATGCAACACACACACACACACACACACACACACACCACCCCACCCCCCAGGATTGGTCGGAGGGCATGCAGCGCGCCGCTGGAGGGGCTAGTCCTGAGCATGCGCGCAGTGTTGGGGGTCAGCCAGGAGGGCAAGCCCGGTATCCGGCCCTCGCGCAGCCGCAGAGGCCAGCGATGGCTGCGTGCGTGGGTCCCCGGCTGGGAGTGAGGGCTGCGGAGGCTGCTGGGAGGGACGCAGGCTGCTGGTGTCTGAGAACCTGAACACCTGTGGGGCGAAATCAGGTGGAACCTGCAGGCGGTCGCTGGTTGGCTTCTTCAGGGGAGAAAGCTGCTGGGCTTCTCTGCAGAGCAGGTAACTGCAAACCTGGGTCGCTCCCACTGTGTCGCTGGCACTGGTAACCTCTGAACTTCTTCTTTGTTCCTAGCTGTCACTGTACGTCTCAGCTTGGCTGGTGTCTGGTTGGGCTGAACCCCAAGGAGGTCCTTTACTTAGGGCCTGAAAGGCTTTGGAAGCGCGTCTTTCCACCTGCTCTCCCTTATGGGAGAGGGAAACTCTAGCTGGGAATTGCCTTCTTTTTGCCAAGCGGTGCCGGCCTGTGGGGGACGAGGCGGGTAAAGTGAAGCGGTTCTTCCATTCCTTTTTGGGTGGTTATTTTCAGGTTTGTTGTTGCACTGTGTTGTTGAAGTTTCTTAAGGGGATTCCTTAGCAATCCCAGAGCTGTTTTTGTTCATGGATAGCTAATTGTTGATCTTCATAGGGGGATGGAGGTTGGAGTCCCCTACACTATTGTCTTGGTGATGTCTTCTGGAGTTCAGGCTTGTTCAGTCGGTGTGCTCCTTGTTCTGTAAATGACGAAAATGCCCAATTAGCATTTTCTTTATTCCACTTAGTAAGTTTGTTGTTTTGTATAAATAAATTTTGTATAAAATTTTGTAAAATTCATTACAGAATCATAATCGGAATTATATTATTTTGCATAAATTCATTACAGAATCATAGCTAGAAAGCTTTACATAATCATCTACTTAGTCTAACCCATATTACTGGACTAAAATCACCTCGTTTTGAAATACATGCAACTATGTGTCTAAAATCCCAGGACTTGATTTTAAAAACCAACTTTTATGCACGCTTGAGCAACCCATATGTTTGGTGGATTTGAAACCTGTATGATTACCCTTGACCATTGGATCATAGGAGCTGCTGGGTGAATGCTTCCCTCTTCCATCCCCTAAGCCAACAGTGCTGAGATGCATTTCACAAGGTTTCAGGGAGGGTACTATGGGATTAAGCACCAGTGACCCACTTGATAACACATACCTGAATTGGTTGTGGAGGTAATACACTTTTTGGGGGGATATTTTACATCTGATAAGTTTTGTACTGTGACTTTTTTTTTGCCTATTAAATTTAATTATTTTGATAACTACTCTTAGATATATTTAATGTAAAGAATTTTGTTTCCTAATTTATAAAGCTATTTCTTAAGAAAGGATGTTTTAAAAAACATGGATCCAAGTATCTCAACATGAGATATATTAAAAAAAATAATGGGTATTCCAAAACCTAGTGTCTGGGGGGAAATTTGATACTTGCATGTATGAAATATATGGCAAAATCTCATATGTAGATAAGCAAATGCAACTAACTTTATTTTTAATAATCATCTGCCCCTTAGAGTTGGCATACACTTACACATTTTATTTGATCAATACCACCACATGACAAAGATTCTTGTCCTCTTTTTCTTATATGGCTTCAAAAATCTTAATAAATAGTTTTTATGCCTTTCAGAAGATGAATAGATTTCATGAACACTATCCTTCTTGTAAAATAATAGTCTTAAAATTAGTCTTAAAGCTGCATTTAAAAAGGCTTCACATGTGGCGCCTGGGTGGCTCAGTCGTTAAGCGTCTGCCTTCGGCTCAGGTCGTGGTCCTGGGGTCCTGGGATCGAGCCCCGCATCGGGCTCCCTGCTCTGCGGGAAGCCTGCTTCTCCCTCTCCCACCCCCCTTGCTTGTGTTCCTTCTCTCGCTCTGTCTCTCTGTCAAATAAATAAATAAAATCTTAAAAAAAAAAAAAAAAGGCTTCACAGTTTAGGAAAAATGTAGTTTCATCTTTGGTTTTAAAATTGAATTTTAAAAAGGTATTCACTATACTTGTCCAAAAGTTCATTCACCTAATCATCCTATCCTCTACTTTGATCACAGACATAAAAATGACAGGGAAGCAAGTTGAATTTTGGTCAATTTAAGAAGGTACAATTCTGGATGAGTAGATTCAGTCTAATATCTCACATTTTCCCTAGCTATAAGTACTGGTTTTGTGACCTTCCAGCAGGGTTGTCAGATAAAATACAGTACACATACTTAAATTTGAATTTCCAGTAAACAATGAATGGTAATTTTAGTATAAGTATGTAATTGTTTATCAGAAATTCACATTTAACTGAGCATTGTGTATTTCTATTTGTTAGATCTTGCAATCCTTCCTCCATGTAATCTAGAAAATAGTTATTTTTATTGAGTACATTTGTTTAATATACCACCATGGATTTAATGAACCATGAGCTGGGAAGTCTTCCATAATAAATAGGTAAAATAAAGGCTTGATAGTCACAGAATTTGTAGAAGGTACATACTGTGAGTTCAACTATATTTAGCTTCAGTAGTGTGGTTCTAAGCCAACTAATTAATGTCCAAAATAAAGTTATTGCGATTTATAAACAAGACTTTTTTTCCTGGATTTGATAGGTTAGCATTCATTTGACTGAAGTAGGGTGTTGGTGTGAGAGAGGTGTTGATTTCATAATGCAGTTAGGACCTAGATGTGAATTTGCCTTGTGATCAGTTTCATCAAAATAGGTATTATTAATGTAGTTATGAAGGTTGCAAATGAAGGTTTAAGTTAACTCCTACTGCAATGCCACACATTCTGTAGGTTCTCCTTGTCATTAATTTCATGTAATTGGAAGAAGAATTTCAACGTGTGGCTAGAATGGTTACTGACTTCCCAGAAGTTCTGTCAGAAGTCCCAGAAATCTTCTGGGAAATCTCTCTTCTAGTCAGTTTTATTTTTTTTGATAGAAAATTAGTCTCCCTTCAAATAGTGGAATTTAGCACTCGTTTCTGAACTGAAACTAATGAAGGCCCTGCTTCCCCACTTGTAATTCAGATCTCGGAGAGTAATGAAAGTATTTGCAAATATTTAGCACCTGCACCTCAAGTCTTTCATCTTCAAAAATCTTATTTTTATTTAAGAGTAGAGTGTATGACCAAGAACAACAGTTTACAGTGTTAACTTGATTAAACAAAAACATTCATGGAATTCGAGTGGTTCCATCTGAACTAGACAGTTTAGACTGATGCAGTGTGGAAAGGATGTGGAATCACAGAAGAATTAATGTGAAGTATACGATTTGGCACTGGCAGGGCCTTGTGAATACCATCAATTTGAGATTTTTAAAAAAGTATCTAAATGTGTTTACACAGCTGGATATTAAGTTTCAGCTTGATCTCTTTTCTTCATGTTTCCAGGTTATTTACAAATGTGTTTCCCTCTGCTTCTTCCTTTAAGCATTTTATTTTCCAAGTTTGTATTTTAAAAGCTCCGATAGCAACATAATATTGTGAAATACTTTGTGGAGTTTTGTTTGTTGCTATATTAGCAGTATTAGGAGAGACATCTGGAACATAAACATTTTTTAA